TGCTGAACCAAAGCCATAGAGTGGTGTGGCACCATGGAGAACTGCATGTTTTAATGTTTTAACTGCCTTTAAAATAATAGACTGAGTACTTGGAAGTTGTGTTGCAGATCACCTGTCTCCAGCACTTTAAAGCCACTGCATTTTACAGGATTCGTACCTTTTTAAAAGAACTATGTCTGCATGTTGCTTTTGGTTTAGAGAATTCGTTTTTGAGTAATTGGTTACTTAATTTGAAAGAACTGACTCGCTGCTTATATGAATTACTCAATTTTTAAAAAATCTTTGTTTTCTCCCAGCATGTACAATGTAGTCATGGCCATGTCTCATACTGTCTCTCTCTTATTTCAAACATATGAGGGTAGGTGGAAGGGAACAAGTGTTTAATTAAGATAATAAATTTTCTGCTTTATCTCAGAATAAATTCAGAGGTTGAAAGATGGCAGGCAAATTAGCAAGATAATTACCTTGATGAAGTTTTATTGATAAGATAGTGAATGAGCCTTAGAAAAACTTTGAAGTTATTGATTTGTTTGACTTGAAATGTTAGAACAGCAGTAGTTAAAATTTGGGTTAATTAGGGAGAGCAGTCTTTAATAGTATGGTATTTAGTCTCATTAAAGGTGCGTCTAAACCTGGCTGATGCACTTGAATAGCTGTTAAACACTTATGGATAGTGACAGGTTAAATGTTTGAACAGCAACGTATCCTGTTATATCTAATTGTAATGTACCAGTGGCAAAACCAGTGTATATTTATATAATGTGGGATTAGATGTTTGATTAGCTCTCATAATAAAAAATCATTTAGAACCATGTTGCATTAAACTTATGTTTAAACTTGCCTATACCTTTCCATTTCTGTTTATAGTAGAACATCAGTCAGTTTTACTAATTGCAGAACTCCTAATATTTTATTTCCCTTTTAGAGAGACTCTTCAATGAATTTTAATTAAAAAAAAAAAAAATCCATTCTGTATGATACATCTCCTAAGTTGTGGGGTTTTTAAATTGGTGTTAAGCTTAACTGTCCTGTATAATGCTAACTGATTGTGTTCTTGTTTAGCATTATGTAATTTTTCACTAGTCTCCTCCACCAGGACATTCTCTGTAGGGCATGGTAGATTTTTTTTTTTTTTTTCAGAAGTGTTAATCTTATATATAAAACCAAAAAGTACAAAAGACCAAAGTTATGTATCCTTGTTAGGTGCTTATGCACTATTTGAGCAATGATGACAAAATGTAAAGAGAAAAGGGAAACAATCAACTATAGACAGGGTGGTACCATTATTTCTTTTACAGTGTTTTATAACTTTCTGAATGGACTTACGGAACTCCAGTTAAAAAAAAATGTCCTTGTCTTTGCATACAGCAGTGTATTTTTGGAGGAATTTCCACCAGGTGATAGACAACTCATCCTTTCTGTATTTTATACTAATTTTTTAATTCTGTTTTCTAGTCCTTTTACTGTTACTGCTGTGTTTTTGTGATGCTTGAGCTGGCTTGTTTTCAGGTACAACCAGAGGATTGGCGGGGGTGTGTGTGTGTGTGTGTGTGTGTTTTGCTTTTCTTTTTCTTTTGGGTGGCAAAAGGATGGATCCTTCTGGCCTTTCATTTTCTCTCCCCCCTGAATGTTATCTGTTCTGTTTCCTTCAGTTTTGATCAATACCTCTGTCTCCCTTCCTGGCTCCTATAATCTCTTCAAACACTTTTGGAGCACTTTCTGGTCTCTGTCCCTTCTGCCTTTGCAATTTTGCAGTGTCCACACTTCTCATTTTTCTCCTACATTATTTTTTATGTATACATTAAAAGAAAAGAAGGAAGGGAGCCTCAGTCCACAACACTTGAGTTGGGAGTTGTAGAAGCAGTATGAGGGTCAGGGAGAAGTTGCAATAAGCTCCAGACATTTTTCTTCCTTCATCTTTTGGCCCTGGACTAGGCCAGAGGGCAGTATCATTGACAAAGTTGTACTGACATGCAGTCCTGCTGACACAAATGCTGGATGTCCATTTTATAAACAGTGATTATTTTGTTTCTGTAGAAAGAGTCTGCAGGTATTTGGTTTCACAGCTCTGTTCAGTTGTTTTCAGTGTTTGAATTGATCTACCATTGGGTTCAATGTCTGTATTTGCCTGGAGGGTGCTAAACTGACATCAGCAATTGGGACAGATATGCTCTGACCTAAACATAAAAGGGACAGATGTTGGCATCCCAGGATTATCACAGTTGGAAAGGCTTAGATGAGACGAGTGTCTTCATGCTAACTCTGAGAGCATGAAAGCAAGGTTGTGTCGTTTGACTGTAAGGTCAGGTTGGTATTGTTGATTTGCAGGCACAGTTTTTTTTTTTTTTTTTCTGTTCAAAGCTTTTTGCTACCTGGTTATGAAAAAAGTAAACCAATTTGATTATAACGGACAAGAATTAGGAAACATGCCTTGTTCAGCCTTTCAACTTTGTTTACTCTTTTTTTTGCTATTTTTCTCCTGTTGGTTAGTCAGTCTTCCTCTGTACATCGTTTTTCACAAAGCAACAGGGAAGAGGAAACTATTTTAAAAATTGGCAAATAGAAAATTAAAATAAAAAATGGATAGGGAAGCTTTTGGTTAATACTGTCACAGTATTTTCTTTTAAAATGGACTAAATTTCAGTTTCACAGTTTTGTTTTTTTTTTTTTCTCTTCTTCTCCCCTCCCCCTCAAATCTCTCGAGCACTACCACAAACTTTTACCTTACCTATTAAGGTATTTATCCTAATATGACTGGATTTGAATCATGCTGCTCATATTGGTATTTAATTTATTTAATTGGCATTTTTTATTACCATTTAAGAGGTTTAAGTATTTTAAGATTAACTTGCAATTTCTGACTCTTGGGATAAGAGTTGGAAGGACATTTTGAGTAAAGGAGGACACAGCTCTTTACCTGATGAAATGATGTAGTGGTGTCACGCATGCCAAACAAATAAACCATCACTTATGAGAGGCAATGCAAAAGTAGCTAGGGCATGGCCAAGAATTCCAAAGGATCCCAGGGAGTTAGGTGCTCAACTTCCATTGAGTTCTTTGGGGAATTGAAACTGGGAACCTAGTTGTTAGGGCTATGCAAAATTTATCTGAGTGTTTCGTTTCAAACCTGTTTCGACATGTTTTGAGCTTGAAACGGTGAAATTGAAATGAAACAAAAAGCTTTGAAATGAAATGTGGGCGCTCAAAACTTTTTGAATGTTTCGAAACATCTTGAGCTTTGAAGCATCCCTGTGGCGGGAGAGAGCCAGGGCTGCGCTCCAAGTGGCTCTGCAGACCCATGGACCTCAGCTCGGCAGTGGGAGGTGGAGTGCAGCCCTGGCTCTCCCCACCTCCCACTGCTGGACTGATCTCCATGTGGCTGCAGGCCTCCAGATGTATGCACTGGATGAGAGGAGGCTGCCTGGGACTGGTGGCAGCATATATCTTCCCTGGTGCTAGCTGCAGGCTGCGCCCAGCACCAGTCCCAGGTGGCAGGGCAGCTTCCTGTCATCCAGTGCGCAGATGCGGGGGTTCGCACCCCCAGGAGGAGTCCGGCACAGCCCCACAGCCCTCCCGGGGGTGCGGGCCCCCAGATCTGTGCGCCGGATGAGAGGAGGCTGTTGCTGCCGGGAAGTGTCAGGAGTTTTCCTTTGAACAGTTTGAGGTGCAGTTTCCCACAACCCTCTGCTCCTATCTCCTTGAAACTTGGTAAGCTTCGTGCACGCTGAAGGGGCTACCATCCCTGCAATTTTCATCTGAATCAGGGAAGAAATGACAAAGGTTTAGGCGGTTTCATGATTCCCCATTAGCCTACGGGCAAAATGTCGAAACAGCGAAATGGGTTTGACAAAATGAAACGAAACAGCGCTTCAAAACTAAGCGAAACGACGAAATGAAACACTGTCCCTTTGAAACAGGCGTTGAAATGAAATGATGGTGTTTTGCACAGCCCTACTAGTTATAACAAGCTATTCCAGAAATCACTGTTGAAATGGTAACACCTTATTTTCCCAGTTCAAGTATTTTATAATAACTTTAAAACAAAACAAACCCAGTTAGGTCAGGGCCTGCAAGGGTACTTAAGCACTTCTGCCATTATGAAAGGGATGGCATTTAAAAAAAAAAAAAAAGGTATTTGGAGAAGTGGCTGATTTGAGACTTCGGTCTCTAATGCAGCAGAAGCAGAGGTTAGTAGTGTGCTAAATAATCTCCTGAGGAAGGTAGGGTTAATCTGTGGATGATTTAAAAGTGATGATATGACCTTGGTATTTGGTGCTAAGTTGATGCTGGGAGTGTAAAGTTGGGAACCAAGTTGTCAGAACAGCGAGCCAGGAGGATTACCTTAGCCACAGTTTTAAAATGGCTTTGAGCCAAAGAGGTTTTATGTTGGTTCAGGTTTGAGATAAGGGCTTGTAAAAGAAGGGACGTGTTGGAAATATTGTTTGGAAAAAGTATGGAAAACTTCGATATCTCCTGCAGAGTGAATCCAGCTAAAGAAATATGTTGGAGGTAATGCTCTGTGTTCTGTCTTGGCTTGAATAGAAGCTGGAGTTCCAAACATGAGCTGCAGCTTCTTACAACTGACATAACTCTGTACAGCAGGGGTTGTCACCCGGGGGTACACCTACCCCTAGTGGTACTTTGAAAGGTCCTAGCAGGTACACATGGGTGGGCGGGGATGGAGCGCCACCACCTTGTGCTGCTACCTTCTAGGAGCAGGGCCGGGGGGGCAAGGGCAGTGGCTCCCCTCTGCGGGCCGCACAGGTGTGGCCTGGCCAGCTGGATGTGGGGGCTGGGGGAAGCTTGTGTGTGGCGGCCGCTACTGCCATCTACCACTTTGCATTGCCACCGCTGCTTGCCACTTCCCCATGGCTGGTCGCACATGCAGCTCCGTGGGCTGCTGATGGGAAGTGCATGATTGGCCAGGTGTGAAGTCCATCAGCAGCCCATGGAACCACATGTGCAGTCGGCAGTGGGAAGGTGGTGGCAGTGCGAGATGGTGGGTGGTGGTAGGAGCTGCCATATGCAATTTCCCCCCCCTTCCCCCCCACATCTGGCTGCTGCTACCAAAAGGGGTACACTGCTTAAAAAAGGTTGAAAACCCCTGCTGTACAGCAGTATGAAACCATATAATGCTTTACATTCCTTATTTCCATATTAAGTCCTTATAAGAGTAGTAACAAATAGTATACCTGGCAAATACCAATTTTTAAAGTTTAACCATATTTAAGAGTTGAACTATACATGCATCTTACGTAAAGATGCAGTAGGAGGTTATCAGGGGTATGACCTCCTATGTAGTGTGCTTTGCTTGATGGGATAATGTTTTCTGAAATTTTTCCACCACCTTGGTGAAGAGCATGTACTGCTTTCCCATGTTTAAATTATGAACATGAATTATGAAAATACTTTATGGTTCCAGGTCTGAGGCTTAAGAAAAAAAAGAATAAATTCTCAGTCTGTGATGCTGAAATCAGAGGCATTTTCATTTTGCATTGCCTCATTTGTACAGGCTGAAGTAAGGTTATCAATGTTCATCTTTCAGCCCTAGTAACTGGCTTATTGTAGAGAATTTTTTTTTTTTAATAATTGTGAATGAGTGCAGTTGGAAGTAGGGTTTTAATACCTTTTGAAATGTCAGGAATTTAGTGAGAAGAAATGGAGAGGCTGCAGTTTCATATTTTGAATACAGCAGTATTGATGTGGAAATTTGCCATACTGTGTTAGACAATGTCTGTTGTAAATCCTTCCATTAAGGTTACTTTGCGCACACTTCCTGTAAATATACTCTCCAGTTTTGTTAAATTGTTCTTTTTTTTTTTTTTTTTTTTTTTTTAATCTTCTTTCTCTCTCCTCAAAGATCTACCTCAGAGCCCTTCAAAAATTAAACTTAAGTGTAAGGAATTTTTGTAATTAGACTTTGTATAAATTGGTGCAATACAGTTTTGAATTATTGCATGACTCCCATCAGCTGTAAATTCTTAGTTTTAAGTTTTCAGATAAAGTGCGTACCTTAGAGAGACAAGGTTCTTTGAGTAAATGTGATAGATATGTGATATCTTTTATCACACACATATTTGCCCAAATAATCTTGTCTGCCTATGTCCTGAGACCAGCATGGCTACCACCCACTACCTTAGAGAGAAACTTTGTTGAAATAAATATTATGCTGCTTTTTCTCTCTTCCCATTTCTCTGCCAGGTTGCAGGAGCAATGGGTAAGGTGAGCACTATGCTGTGTTTATGGGTACCCCAGCCCAACTGATTAGCTCCCTTTAAATCGCCACCCTAACAGTGGGGCACACCCCTTATGCAGGGCCGCACCACACAGCTCTCAGCCTGCCAACACAAGTGGAGCTGTCAACCAACCTGTACCATGCAACTGGCATTTGGCTGCCCAGTTTGGACCCTGCCACATCTTCAATTTTAAGAAGCAATGGAAACCAGGCATAAAAAACATTTTGTGGAATATTGCTGTGGCCGGTTTCTCATTTTGCCACAGCACTAATTGACTGACCGTGTGGCTGGGTTACTATTTATGGCACAACACAGGTAAACTGCATCTAAAGTGTAGTGTCTGCCAGGGACCTCACTATTTGATGATGATGTTATAATAGTAGTTCATTGATTTGCTAGTCACGGGTACATCATAAACCCTGAAGCAACAGGCTTAAAATACCATATGGGGTTTAGCTTTCTGTGTGTGTGTGTGTGTGTGATTATTTATGTGTATGTATGTATACATATGACAGGTTACACCTTTTGGGTATTTTTTGTAAAAGCGGAAGCTTATTCAGTTAGCAATCCCTCTTCTCATATGTGTTTCCTTAAACTTGCCAATTTGGTGATAATTCATAATAGCCAGAGGTATTGTTTAAAAAAAATAATGAAAGCAAGCTATAAAAAATCCATTCCCCCTGTTGCATTTCACCTAGTTTTAAATATTTTTGCAGTTTTTAATATTTCTTTGTTAAACAAATTTACATTTTTTTGTCTTTACCAACTACATTGAAAAACCCCTTGTTCAGTATTTCCTTTAATCATGGTTTGTTTTTTTTAACAGATACTTTGTGCTGGATTTTGAGACTGGAATGCTGCAGTATTTTGTGAATGAACAAAGTAAAAATCAGAAGCCACGAGGAGCCGTGTCTTTAGCTGGAGCCATCATATCTCCTAGTGATGAAGCACCACACATGTTGGTAGTATACTCTGCTAATGGAGAGATGTATAAGCTGAGAGGTACAGACATTTACTAGTTGCTTGATAAATATGTCTTTAAAGCTAGCTTTTTCTCCTATTTTGTAAGTTGTTTTCCATCTCTGCCTCCTTTTAACTACAACAAAAAAACAAGTTGAAATTTATATTAGTTATATTGTTGTGTTTGCCTCCCCCAACACTGACCCCTCCCTCCACCCTCTCACCCTTTTTAGTTTTTGCATTTTAATCAGTCTCTCCATTTCATATATTGCTTTTATGCATGTCCTTTCACAGCGTCTGTTGAACTGAGCTGGGCTCACGAAAGCTTGTGCTGTCTCTATATCTACCGTATGCCTGTGTGCGCGTATTTTTACATAGATATAGATTACATCTGTGTGTGAGAGCTATATAGATCTATGTACACACAGGCATGCATGTATGCATATATATTGGTTGGTCTATAAGGTGCAAATCTATCCTGCCTTTTGTATTGCTGTGTCCAATAAATGGCTACATTACTGCATATTTTTAAATATATTGCTTATATACTGTGTGTGTATATGTGACAATGGCAAATCGATGGTGTCATGCACCCTATTGTGCATCAAAGGAATTAGAGAGTTGACTTCATTATTTGCTTAGTACAACACAATCTGATTTCAGATGTTGTCTGGCTTCCTTCCCCCCCCCCCAAAACCCAAAACGTGCCCCCCACCCCCCAAAATCCGATACGGTACATATAGAGGAAACAGCAGCAAATCTGTTGATGGGTTGAAGAGTATACAAAAATATTGCTGAGAAACTTATTACCATATTCTAGTTCTGTAAAATACTGACAAGATAATATTACTATAGGAACTTTTATATTAAAAAAATTCTGCTCCTTTATATCCCTCTATTAGATAATGCTAGGTTTCTGAATAACTTGGGTTTTTTGTGGGGTTTTTTTTTTTTTAATTTGGCTTTTTGGAAATATTCTTACTCAGACTTTTTCAGTATAATTGGTTGGCTCGATTTATGGCAATATCCAGTCCATTAATTTTGTTTTTGATTAAAATTTTGCTAGGGTAAAATTAACTAGTGAATACTATAGGTGGGAAGCTTGTTTTTTGCTTTGTTCTTTTTATCTACTTAAAAAGCTTCCCTAGATGTCTTGGCACATCATAGAGAGTGAGAAGTCATAAGCATTACCAGTGCTACCAGGTAGCAAGTTTACTACCAGGTAAACTAGGGTTTGAATATACAGTGTATCATCTAATCTGTGCTATTTATGTTATGCGCATGCTTTTATTCCCATGGTAAATGCCAGGTAGCTTACTCCGTGCTCACAAAGGAGCAAACCACTTCATACCACATGTGGGGTAAGATGTACATACAGGCATACCACAAATTAACTGATACAGTGGAGTAGCAAACCCTAACTTCCCATACAGGAATACTAGCTATGCTGGTATAAGGCACCGTCATTCAGATTTGTTCTAACTAATTTTATTCATACTGGAATAACTTTACAAAGTTTTATATGCAACAAATAACTTTGTACTTTTACCTAGGAAAGCTTTTAGAGAGCTACCAAATTAAAACACTTTCTTATTTTATTTCCTTTTAATATTATTTTGGCTTTTGTACAGTCTATGCATTCTTGTGTCTCATTTCTAGCTGCTGATGCAAAAGAGAAACAATACTGGGTGACTCAACTTCGATCTTGTGCCAAGTACCACACGGAAGGCAATTCTAAGGTAAATAAGTATGCGAGAGAGAAAACCTTGTTATATTTAATGGTGGGGGGAAGGGAGGGGGTAAATGGAGAACAAAATAATGTGGAACATTGACTACTGTTGTTAATGGGTTAATTTCTGGGTTTTTTTTGCGTTCTTTCAACATTATTATTATTTTTTTTTATGAGTAACAAAATAGTTCTCTATCCATATAGATACAAGTGTATGGCAGTGACTCTTATTACTCATTATTTCAGAGAGGGAGTTAGACTGACTAGGTAAATGGAATGCGGAGGTTTTAAAAAAGAAGAAACATAGGAAGGAAATCTCTATTGCTTCAATCTTTATGTAAATGTTTGGCACCTGAGAGGTCTGAAGTATTACTGCATAGGTAGATTTAGTAGATGGATAACTAATTCATAACAATATGGGAGTATGAAAATGATTATGCACTCTGGTAAGGCAGAATATAAACTTGGGGTTGCAAACTGCTGAAAATGTTTCAAATAATAATTGATTGCCTCATTTGCTGCCAGAATAAGACAAGAACAAGTTGTAATATCTTACAAAATGAAGACTTCTTGGAAAGAAATTTTAAAGTAACAAGTAACGATCCTTTTTTTTTTTTTTTTTTTTTTTTTTTTATTTTTTTGTGTTTTGTGTTTGGGGGGGA